ACCAAACCAAAATAAATTAATGTAAACATATAATCCCACCTCTCGAAAAATTTTAAAATTAGAAAATAAAAACATAATAACAAAACTTTCCAATGCAAACATAACAAAAAATACGAAATTCAAAACGTACCTTATCCGTAAAGAATATCCCGCCCGTAGGGCGGGCCGACCCTAGTCTTATAATATTATTCTTCAGGAAATCGTTCATAACTCTTCCCTCAAAATTTTCTTTGTATTTATACTTTCATCAACTTCTCATCCTTTGTAAAATCTGCAGCTTGGGTAACATTTCAAAACAATTGGATTTTAGTTGTTTCTGAAATGACCTTAGTTAATTTTAATAAAGAAATGATTTTTATTTGATAATATATATCTTGATCCTTGATGTAAGATTTTTGCCAAACTCTTAGATCTCCTATATTTCTGCCCACGTTGGAGCATAGGTGACTTATAGACCAGTGGTGGAGTCAGAAAATATTTTTACTTGAATCAGAATTAATTAATTTAATTAATTTAATTAAAAAGCAATTTAACTAGAAATTATTTCAATATTTTTTATATATACTATTAGATTTTAAAGTTGTTTTAATTTTTCAAGAAAATTCTATTCCATCAAAACAAAAGTATAATGCTAAAAGATCTCTAGAAGGATGTGTAACTATTGTTGTATAGAGTTTTGAAACGATAGTATGGGAAAACAACCAAAAGGAAGTCACATGTTTTTATTGAAACAAAGAAAGAAATTGTTAAACTACCTAAGAAACAATGGAAAAGGAGCGAAGTTTGTAAAACAAAATAAGAAGCTGGCTACACACCTATCTTTCACTTTAAAATCAGGTTTAAGCCCAATATAATTAATTGAAAAGTAAAAAAAAAACATGAGTGAAAAATGGAGTATCGAACTTGCTTAAGAGGGGGAGGGGGGGGGTGTCAATGAAAGAGATTTTACATCAGCAGAGCATTTGTTCTTTACGTAAATAAGCTTACAAATCCAGTTTCTTTTTAATATATTACCGAGGTCAGCTGACTCCCCTCATGTGTATGTAGATCCGTCTCTTTTGTACTATTGTTCTTATATGTTTTTCTTTCTTTCAAAACAGCTAAAACGAACAATTTTATTTTTTGAGAAAAGGAATAATTTTACCGCGAAACTTTCGCTTATAGCTCAGATTGTTTTTTCTCATGTTAATTTTTGTATGGAATATTAACATGGGTTAATAGGGAAAAGCTTAAAGTAGCTACAATGTAGTATTCCATATTTTACTCTGAAATGGTGCAACTCCAAAATAGAATAAGGTTTTACTCCAATGTATAATTCCATATTTTACTCCAAAATAATTAATAATTGTTAATAATATCTTATATTTATAAAAATTTACCAATTAACCCAACTATTTTATGTTTATAAAAATACCTTAAAATATAATTTATTTAAATTAAACATTTATTATTTAAAAGTACAAGAAATCATAAAAATACAACAAAACACAATATAAGCTGGTTCAATAGTGAACATTAGAATATTTTTCCCACAAATGATCAATTAATGCATTTCGTAATGAAAAATGAGCTTCTTTATTTTTGATATTCCTAAATCTAGTATAGATGGTGCCACCTCTTCTAATGAAAAATGAGCTTCTTTATGGATGGTGTCTCCTCTCCTAATGATCATGTCAATAGTTATCTGACACAAGTATCTCAAGGTTTGTCTTCATTTTCTCAAAACTTAGACAATGACGACGAGATTATCAGTGTATCTTCCTCTCAATGTCCAAGTGGGGGTGAAAAAGTTAAAAATGAAAAGTAAACTTGATGATCAAACATCAATGGTTATAAAATCCTTAGAAGAATGAAATAAACAACTCTTGGAACAGCTAAAGAAGTCAAGTGCAAAAAAGATGCACCATACGGAGAGTCAAAACAAAATAATGCATTGAAAGAAGAAAACAAAATTTTGTTTTGTGATTTTAGTTCCATACAATATCTGAATGTCCGTGCGTATATTCAAGCTCAACAAGTGCAAATAATATCAAAATGAAATGCTGAGTCACAAGATCGACAAGCTCTATCTCAATCTTTTCCGTTTGGGCAATACTTCACCGGTCTTAACGGATCCGGAAGCAATTTGCCATATTATTATATCACTTATTTTATGTTTTTTATTTAATATTATTTATGTTTTTAATTATGCATTTTATGTCAAATTATTAAATAATGAAATCGCTCGGTCGCTATGTAGCGGCTGAGCGTGTACGTGCTCGGTAGCTACGTAGCTGTCATGTTACTGTATCCTTTAAAAACATTATTTAAGTAAAAAATAAGAATATTAGAGAGTTAAAAGACCATTTCATAAATAAATAAAAGGTTCAACTTCAAAATGGAATAATGTGTAAGATTAGCCATTACTTCATTTTGAAATTGAAAATGGAGTGGGGTTGGAGAAGATTTTACTCCAAGATGATATTTCGAGTAGAAAATTTAATAGGACTGGAGATGTCCTTAACAAAATAACCGTGCATCAGAAAATGTGAACATTTTACATACATTTAACATTTTAATTTCTGTTTAAAACATGGGGAAAATGTATATTTCTATATTTTGTTTCTAAATAAAAGAGAATACAATAAAATTATATTTCATTTGAAAATAAATACTAACTATACTCAAAGCCGTGCTTACTCTTGTCGAAAAAAGAACCGCCACAAATATTTAATTCTTGATCTAAAATTTGCAAACATAGTTGATAAAAATGTAAACATAAATTAAAATTTATTGTAGTGTTTTGCATATACTCAGAGTTTGGGCAAGTAAACCGTTAATATTTAAGAAAATATTTTATATTTATAATTTTCCTATAAATATTAATATGTAAGAGGCAAAGTTGAATTTCACATTATTTACTTTATTTTAATGTTTTATGACTGAAATGGACTATAATCTGTATATCTGGTAGTTTGGTAGCTTTTTACTTTTGATAGCTCAAAAATAAAATGATGACAAACAGTCAAAGTATATATTTGAACGATGACAAGAATTTCGATATACCTTAAAATATAACTGAAATTTGACATTGTTAATTTTTATTTGTATAATTAGATTAGATATCTTATAGAAAATAAAAGTTGGTAATTTAATTTTTAAAATTAGACCCAAAAAAAAGTTGGTATCGTTCATCAGTCATCATGAGACCAGAAGGGGATATTAGGTACGATTTCTGGATATTGGGAAAATATAAGTTGGTATCGTCACCAGTCATCACGGCACCAAAAAGTCTATATTCCACTATTATTAGGCTGAGGTAACATTTTCTGCTGATACTTATCGTAATCTTTTTGAAACACTAATAACCAATCATAACGTAGCCCAATATGTACATTATCTGTTTGCATATATATAGTTCCATTGCATGCTACTAGTTAAATACTTTTATAGTTTTTTTTTTTTGAACGATAATACTTTTATAGTTGTAAACTAATATAAGCCAACTATTCTACGTACATTAGCTTTCAAAAAAACTATTCTACGTACATTAATCTACAATATATAGTCCATTTACCATGCCATTCCTTGGATACGAACCGCACGTCACCTTATCAGATAACAAACATTACAGATACTTTTTTTGCAACCACGTTTACATAATGCAGACATCTTTAAAAAGCTGTAATTCCTTCGCAGTTGTTCTCGCGGTATATATCTAGGAAAGGAAAGAGTTTTTTTTTCCCAGCACTTGTTGCAATTGTTCGCAAATCATGAAATATTAAAATGCATATGGAAAAATATAAATATGACATTTTGTGAATTTTTTCTAATATTTAAATTTAAGTTACCTAACAGAATTATATCAACAATAAAAGATGAGATACTCCGTTAGTAATATGCCAATAATGAAAGAAAAGAGTTTTTTTTTCTTGATTCTTTTTAAATTTACTTTTTGTTCTAAAATAATACATTGCGTAAGGTTAAAAAAAAAAAAACATTTGCGTAACGTTAAGAAAAAACAATCTGGTTTAAAAGAAACAGAGAGCAATAAATCATAAACTATACACCATTGATGCACCCACTTGGACCGGTCGTGAACGGTGGCAACCTAACCTGTGCACTTCTAAGATTCTCTATGTTTTGTGTATAAATTTCTCGGAAACTTTAAGAATATATGAGATGTTTACAATTTCTTTAAACTCGAGTTAGATATTTATATGCTTTTGATACACGCCCTTACTTTTGTGGATCCTATCGGAGATTATATTTTCACACAATCAATCATCTTGAGTTGTTTTATTTCAGATTTTCAAGGTTTTTTTTTTTTTTTGGTAAAAGTTTTTCTTTTTATGGATGTTGATTCCTCACTTTTGCTTGAACATATCCTACTACAAGAAATTGAAATATACCTAATCAATTACCCTTATTCATAAACGAGGGATTGATTTATGGAAGATATTTTCATATTAAATAAGTAATAAATAAACGATCAGACATATATGAAATATCTAAGATTAACTCATCTTAAAGTTGTAACACAGTTAGCTAAATGAAATTGACGTACGTAGTAACCTTTAGTTAAGTGCCTAACTCCAACACTATCTGTACACGTCCGAAAATATCTTGTAGCTACACGAAATTTACAACTCAGTTTTTTATTACATTTGTAAATGTTTGGGATTGTGTAAAAGTATCGGATATACATAAAGTTAATGTGAATCCTCTTTACATCTAATTACCTTTCTTTTACTGGACTTGAACCATTCGATAATTCTAGGTAATATCTCTATACATAAGCCCGAGGGTATAGAGATTGATTTTATTTTGTTTTGCAATTCTATGAAATAACCTCTTGTCAATAATAGAACGATACGCGAGATATATAACACTGATCAAAAATACAAAATTTAGAAACGGCAGAGATTTAAGACTAAATACCACAATCTATTTATCCACAAAATGACAAAGAGAAGGAGATATATAGATTACAATAAATCAAGATTAATAATTTCAAACTTTCAAGTCTTGATCGAATGGCCAACGCCTGGGCTGTGCCCTGGAGCGGTAGGCCGGAAAGCATTAACACCGTAAAGATCCTTGCTCCTCCTAGTCTTGATGCTATGTTGCAGATCATCTGATTCATTCGGAGAATCCTTGTGATAATGATGATGATTATGATGATGGTGGTGATGATGATGGCTTGAACTTTTCTTGCATGAATAATCTGGTAGATGCTGACACCTCAAACGACTACCATGCGCCTCGTCGATGAATTCGCAGAAAAGGATAATACTAAGGAAAAGGTAAATCACATGAAGGGTCTTTGCCATATCCAAAATCAATAAAAAATATATACTATGCTTACTTAGATTTAAAAGTGTATGAACACGAGAAGTAATATGAAAATGATAATAATGATTATAGTTTTGAGGTTGAAAATGTTGCTATTTAAAGACAAATTGGACTTAGGCAATTGATTCCGATGTTTCTAAGTTATTGATGGAAAACGACCGTAACTTTACTGTTCTTGGAGCATGCAAGACCCCATGATTGTAACTTTGTAATCGACGACCTACATTATATATATACCGCCAAAATATTTTATTCTCGTACTATATACGATCTAGTGCCAGATTTACGGGAAACAGTAACTAGTGAATGGTTTTATTTGAATGACATATTGTTCTTAATTAGTTATTAGATGTGTGAATCTAGAATCTAGATGTAGGTTCAAGTATAGTTTTCAATGCTTATAGATATATTGAATTATACAAACTCTAGTTTTCTTGTGTAAGAATTAAAGATCGAAATTAAGAATAATTCTCTTATTATTTACTTAAGAAACTTACTCAAAGCTTAAGCTATTCAATCCTCAAAACTCATGTTATGTCACACATTGACATCTCCATATATATGAAAATCTTAAAGTCCTAATCTCGCTAAACATAACTATTTAGATAACTCCTAAATACTTAAGGACTTATCTATTTCATAATCCATAACTCAGTAGGAAATAGTTAGTTTATCTCTAAGTTATTTCAAACTTATCTCAACATATTTCTCCTTAAGCTTGAAATCTTCATTTGCCAAATCTTGAATACTTATGAGATCCTTCATTTCTTTGAACTTGATTCTTCCCAAAGCTTTGGTCAAGATTTCCGCCTTCTGCTTATCACCTGGTACATGTTCGACATCAACCAATCCCTTCTCAACACACTCCCTTATAAAGTGGTACCTTGAGTGTATGTGTTTGCTTCTGCCATGGAAAACATGATTCCTTGTAAGAGCTATTGCTGATTGATTGTCAACTCTGATTATCACCTTCTCGACATCTTGCTTCGTTATCTCACTTAGCAATTCTTACAACGAGATAGCTTGTTTTGATGCTTCTGTTCCAGCCATGAATTCTGCTTCACAAGAAGACAAAGCCACCGTCTCTTGTTTATACGAGCACCACGTGATCAAGCTGTTTCCTAGGTAGAAAATATGTCCAGCCGTGCACCTTCCATCGTCTAAGTCACCATTATTGCTACTATCACAGTATCCAATGAGTTTAGGGACGTTAGGCGTGGATGATGTGAATATCAGTCCAAGTGTTGTTGATCCTTTGAGATATCTGAGACAATGCTTCATTGCTCCACCATGAGACACCTTAGGATTTTGCATGTAGCGACTTAGAACTCCTACTGTGTATGATAGATCGGGTCTTATGTGCAGCAGGTAGCGTAGCCATCCGACATTCCTCCTATAAGTCGTAGCATCAATGTCTTCCTCATCAACAGACTTTGACAACTTCATACCAGGTTCCATTGGAATATGAGCCATGTTGCATTTGTTCATTCCACTTTCCTCCAAGATTTTGCTTGCATATCTTCTCTGATTCAACGTTATGCGACCCTTCTCTTGATGAACTTCAATTCCTAAATAGTAGCTCAACTTCCCAAGGTCACTAAATTGATATCGCGTGAAACACACACCAATTAACCTAATGTGCACACTACCACAATCGAATGATATGTCGATGTAACACTTAAGGATCGAATCCACAGAGACCAAATATTACACTTTATTTTTAGAAGATCAATTTCAAGCTAAAACGATAAGTTTTGTAAAGAAACAAATAGTGAGAAACAAATAATTAAAATGGGTTTTAATTTCAGGATATAAGGATGTCAACCTAGGGTATCTCATTGGGTGTTAATCATGATGAACCAAACAATTATTCAAGCTTATTAAGAACAGCCTAGAACTTAGGTTTCAAACTAGAACACCCTG